AAAATGCAGTGTTACAATAGTAATTCTTTAAGTTCTTATTATTTTATTATTATTATTATTTTTTTATTTTATATATATTTTTTACTAAACTGTCCTGTAAAAATGTCCTATGGTGTGACAGCAAAAATGAAGAAAAACAACTCTTAACTCTTAACATGAGAGCAGTTTATTTTCATTGTTTCACACTTATCTTAAAAGTAAATGTACATATGAAAATGATGAAATATACACTACTAGTGAAAAGTTTGGGGTCAGTTTTTTTTTCTTTTTTTTTTTTAAAGAAGATTATTCTGTTCATCAAGTCGGTATTTTAAAAAAAAAGTTAAATTGTTATTTATATAAATTTTAAATAACTGCTTTCTTGATGTATGTAGTATTAAATGAATATATTACTCCTGCCATTGATTTTAATACTAATAATAATAATAATAATAGTAAAAAATAATAATATTAATAGAGTGAATTCTGAAGTATCGAGTGACTCTGAAGACTGGAGTAATGAAGCAGAAAAATCCTGTTTAAATAATAAACTCCTTTTGAAAAGTTCTTTTATAGTGCAATAACGTTCCACAATATTTCTGATTAAATAAATGCAGCCTTGGTGAGCAGGAGAAGCTCATTTTAAAACATTTAAAAATCCTACTGACCCCAAACTTTTGACTGGTAGTGTATATATATTTCTCTCCAGGATATTTTTTTACACTCTCTACAAATTTTAAGACTTCTTGGACACCAAAACTTAATAGTTTTATAGTGGTTCTTAAACATGTAAAACATTCGGAGACAAAACATGATCTTGAATGGGGTCCTTCAACTAATTAACATTTTGTAATGTTTTAAATTAAAGAATTGCTGATGTAGCGTACAATAGTGTCACACCAGAGGATATGGCTTTCAGTGACAAAATGCATCAAGTTCCTATGTTTTGGATAAAATACAACATGTCATTTACTAAAATAGGCACTTGTAAAATTAGGCCTGCGGTATTATTAATAATTGTAATTGTATGGTTTTCTTTTTAAATTTATGCTTGAGACAGTCACACCATAGGACAGTTTTAAGATGTAATAACACAGCGGTATTTTTTTAAAGAGGTCTATGGAAGACAAACAAATGTTTAACCATTTAATGCATTTTAAATTATGATAATACTAATTATATTGTCATTAAATATTTATTATGTGTGACTGTGAAAATGGACCGTCAGGCAAAACAAAGCCAACTGTTACTTCACATGCCAGTCAGAATGCATCCGGGCAGTCAATGACAAAAGCAAAGGTGTTAATGATGAGTCATTTTGTGCAAACTCTGTTGTGCCAAATTCAAATATTTTGGGAGCATCAATAACAAATAAATTCCTGCAATCGACCCAGAGCTGAAGAACAGTTTTCGGTTTTGATAGCACCTACTGCCTGTTTCACTCAATAGACCCTCGAGGAACTAGCAAAGCTTCCACCTTCTGGAAAGGTGAAGCAAATTACTCAGCCAGGGGCCCGTTTTATTGCCTTCACTCCGTCATGGATAACTCAGAGTTTCACGCAATTATGCAGGTGCTTGAGGAAAAGTACAGCAGGGCCTTGCGGCATTGTTTCAGTGATACAGCGATACCCACTCTCTGTTCCTGCAAAAAACAACAACCCTAAACTTGATTTACAGTATGTAATAACGGACAATGGCACATCAGAATTGGTAATGCATTAGAGTACATTTTTTTGCTGTGCATTATATCCTAATTCCATGGACAGCAGTCACATATACAGACATTGTTTAGATGTTGTGTTTCAAAATATTTGTCAGGTTTTGTCACAGCTCCCATGTGTGGGACTTTTTTTTAAATCTCATTTGCAAGCCTTTTGTCTTGTTTTTTGACTGCAGGCTGACTAAATCGTTTGCATATTCATAAGGCATGTAATGGGTTAAACCTGATTGGAACTACTGTAACTGTGCATTTATCTGAAAATAAACGCACGCCTTACAATGTTTATCTGTCAATGAGAATAAAGCATTTAATATAATACATAAACTACAGATGCTGGATTTTTCCTTTTTGCATTTTAATTTATTGTAGCTCCGAACTAAAGATAACGCTAAGGCTTTAAAGGTGAAATCGGATTAAATTTTCTCTTTGTCAATTTTTTTTTTGTGTGTATTTAGTGTTGTATCTGCCAGCTCTAAAAAGTTGGAAACAAATGCAGCCAGTTTGTTAGAAACAGTCTGAGTTTTCAAATATGCCATAATTTGATCTGATCTGTTGGTTTTGACAAAACAAGGTAGTTTTTTAATGTGCCAAACTCAAAGCAAAATATGGATTCTGCCCAACTTCAATCACTTTTTGTAAACAGATAGCAAAGCAGCGTATGAAGGTGCCTTTAGTTTTTGCGTTTGTACAATGCAGCAATCCTGGCATGCATCCTGCGCTATTTATGGATGTACAGGATCACAGGCATCCTTACACACAATCCTAGCTTCATAAATGGCAACAGTAACACAGTTTTAAATTCATTCATTCATTTTCCTTCAGCTTAGTCCCTTATTATCAGGTGTTGCCATTGCAGATTGAATCGCCTTTAATTTTATTTATGAAGGAATTTCCCAGAAAGAGAAGGCAAAAGCTTACTTGTGTGTGCGCAAACTTTTTTGATGGACTACTTTTCAAACCTTGGCCAATACGAAGATGGACTATCTAGCTACCTTCAGTTCACCCGTGTTCACAATATCAGATCATCATCCTTCAGGTGCAGAGGTATGTTTGTCTGTGGTGTTATATTTTTAATATATTCCTGCACAAACAAATTCTAACAGAAAAATCTAATCCAGCAGTGTCAGTTTTTCCATGTTCATAAGCATGTTTGACTGCATTCTACAATGATAATGGAGGGCTGCGATATCAAACAAGGATAAATGATTAAAAGTGCATGAGATGATGTGTCGTAATATTGGATTTTGTCATTATAATGTGGAATCAGCTTTAAATACTCCATGTCAGTGATTCAGACAGGAGGAAGTGGTAGTTTGAGGATCAGCAAAGTGCTGTTTGAGTTGGTGCTTGTTTTGGTACCTTAAGACTAGATTAGAGAGGACCAAGGTAAACCAGAGCCCATTTTCATTTAAAGAGACTGAGGTGTTTTTGACACGGTTAAAAATTGTATTTATTTACACCACAATTGAAAAATCAAACCACTGTAAATTGAAAGCTTTTCATTATCGATGTGTTTACACTGAAAGCGGCGAGAGCGTCAAAGTAGCCAGAACTTAATTCACTGATATTCAATGGGAGCCAGCAGTAAGGGGTGAGGAGCGTCATGGTGCATCTTCGCCGGTGTGAGCGTTGAGGAGAGTTGGAATCAAGTCAACTTTACTGAAATGAGCATGAGAGAATTCCAGAGAACACAGTCCTGTGAACTGACCACAGTTGTTCCCAAGAGTTCGAATATTGAGGTCGCTAGATTTTCAATTATTTACAATGTTTTCTTACAGGGACATAGATTTAAAAAGTTAGTTACTGATGTGCATTTATGTTATATGTATTTTTTGTGGTAACACTTTACAATAAGGTTCATTAGTTAATGCATTTACTAATATGAAATAATCATGAACAACACATAAATAGCATTTATTAATCATAATTGAACATTTACTAATGCATTATTAACATCCAAGTCCATGCTTGTTAACATTAGTTAATGCACCATGAGTTAACATGAACTAACAATGAACAACTGTATTTTCATTAACTAATGTTAACTAACATGAACAAATACAGTAGTAGATGTATTGTTAATTGTTTGTTCATGTTAGTAAATGCATTAATTAACATTAACTAATGAACCTTATTGTAAAGTGTGACCCTTTTTGTCTTTAAAAACAGCGTGAATCTTATGCTAACTATAACAACTTCAGAATATTTTAGACATGTGGACACATATTGGATAAGTGGAGCAAAGCCACAGCACACGAAACAACTTGATCTTTCATTGCTCTATGAGTTTGATGACAAGTTCGCAACATCGATGTAGCGAATTTTAACGCTCTTATCGCTGGAGCAGTACTTTGACAAACTTTAATGCTCTCGCCACCTTTGGTGTGAATGCACACTAAGAGTCTCGAGAATCATAGCAGCTTGGGCATCTGATGTCATCTTTAAACTCTGATTTCTCCTTAAATTAATAAATTTATTTAATAAAAGGTTCTAAACAAATTGAAAAAGATTTTTTATTTGTAAGTATTTTCCATAGTTTGTATCCTCAATATAAATGCTATGATAAAGAAATTCTCATTTTAAAAATGGAAATACTTTCATAAAGACATACTAACTAAAATCAAAAAGCATAAAGACCAAACTTTATTTTAACATAGAAAAATATCAGGCTTTGGATTCAGATTGTGACTCCCATAATTGGAATCAGATCATGAAGTGCCTAAAGATTCCCATCCCAGTGTGGCATAATAACCAATTAAGGATAGTTTTACAGAAAATCATATTTAGAATGGACTGATCCTTAAGATCGACAGCTTCTGCATTTACTGATCACAAAATTTTGTTACATTCGATTCCTTGTCTATCTGAGTAGGCCTATAGCCTCACCATTGGTCTACAAACAAACTCTCAGATTGCATAACTGCAGCCTAGACTGCAGCTCCACACAGGAGGTTTGACCAGAAGAGAAATGGTCATGATCAACTGAACCTGGTCTCTCCCAAGGTTTTTTTTCCCTTCACTTTTGTCAACTGGTGAAGTTTGTTCCTCGCCAGCGTCGCCACTGGCTTGTTTGGTTGGGACTTATGTTTGGACTTTCAGCAGTGAAAATGAAACCACACTGAGCTGAACTAAACTGAACTTCAACTTTGAAACCTGTTTCGATTTACAAGAACTTCTACGCTAAGCTGCTTTGACACAATCTACATTGTAAAAGCGCTACTGAAGCATGAATTGAATTGAATAACGAGACCAAAGCAGCATTTGAAAGACAGCTGTCAATCAACCACTTGAGAGAGTGAAGTATCTTCACATTTACCTAAAACAATGTCTTTATTAGGATTCCTCAAAGCAACCAGGAATACAAACTGTAACAAGATGCAAACGACAGGTTCCTTTCTTTGTATATCCTTCGGAAAAGCCAACAGACGAAGAGTGAAACGAAAATTACTTTCCTCTTTACAGACAAGTGAGGTTACCTTTACAGTCTCACCTTACCCAAGTGTGCTTAAATCGGTAAACCCATGGAATGCTGGGAAATGATACCTACAAACAGAAGGGGATGTAAGTGTTTAATAATTTAACTTTAATCTCCTGTGATATAAATAGAAAAAAAACAAAAAAACAGAGAGTTTTGGGGACAGTGTTAATTAAAGATCTCCTATACAACTACAATAAGTGCAAACAGATACTTATATACACAATTGCACATGATTTGGGATTTAGAAAACCAAATACATAAATAAATAAACAAACAAACAGTGCATTGAAAATAGTTTGCATCACCCATTTGGGGACAAATAAATCACAGAAGGAACTCTCAGGACAGAACAGAAGACCGAATGCAAACGCAGGTATCAGGAGGAAAACATTGGAGATTTGTGTGATAAACCGATGCACTCAGATCCGAAGGTTTAATATCAGTGATTAAGCCCTATCTGGCAACCCTGAGACAAAAACAACTCCATTGCAGCACGTTCGACTAAGCTGAACATTCAATTGGAATTAATGGACCAAATCAGACGATGAGCACCGTGAGGCTTCAGAAAGCCTCGTTGGAGTGCGTACAATCTGCAGGGTTTTGATTCTCAATGAAGCTACTTAACCGAGATGCACTTTCTGTTACCAAATAAATGCAAATCTAGGGTATTCAAAATCTATGCCTTATTGTGTGCATTATAAAATAAATAAATGATATGCTACAGATGATAGAACAGCCGAAAGTACAAGGAGAAAAGCAAATCTACACGTGTCGAAGAGAAACAAGAATTTCACAGCATTTCAATTGTTCAATTTATATTCTGATAGTCAGATGCCATCCATGGTTTACATCGTCATAATAACATACACATTATCGATTGTTATTCCAAAAAAAAAAGTCATATTACACCATGAAGAGCTTCACTGTGATAGTCAGTCTCTCTCTCTTCTGAAAATCCCCCTCTGTGTCCACCATCTGGTTGAACACAATCTGTGAATAATTTCTCAAATATACAAAAGTGCTCAGTCTTCAAGAAAGCGTAAAAAATGTCTATCTGGCCCGAAAAGCCTCATCTCCCCCGCCCTCCCCTATTATTTTTTAAGGCAAGTGGTGACCAGTAGGTCAAAAGACTCTTGCCACAGAACCGTGCTGTAACATCTCCCAATAAATATTGCAACAAATAAATCCCTCCCCCCATCCCGCATTTGAAACGAGTGAGCAGAGTTAATGGCTTTTGGCATTTGTAGTTTCCATGAATGGCGAGAGCTTCGCTATTAATGTAGAAGGACGGGGATCTTCTCTCAACTATACATGGAAAGGGCACGAATGACAGAAGTATGCACTCAGAATATGTGGACGAGAAGTCATGAACACGAGTGTAAAGCATGCCTTAACATAAACAAGCGTCAATAAAAATAAATTAAATTCAGAGATCTTTATACTACGTTTACGCAAATGCTTTTAAGACAGGACCACTTGCCGACATCGTCCATCATTTCTCTCTGAACTGTAGTGGAGGTATACTGTAAACACTTAAGAGCAGTGGTCCCCAACCCCCTGGGCCGTGAACCGGTACCAGTTTGTGAATAAATTAGTACTGGGTCGCACAAGAAATCATTAATTATTTCCATTTTATCTAAATCTGAACAATCTTTTTTTCTTTTTTTTGGTAAAAATCTTTTTTTTGAAACATTACCGCAATCTCTCGATCACCTGAGCGCCAAGATGTAATCCACAAGTAGTGATGAGAAGTTCGAACCTTTGAGTCTCGTTTAGTGAGATGAATGAATCTTTTTTTCGAATCATTTGGTTCAATTTGCGAAAATATTAGTAAAATCAGCCGACAGCTAGCTCATTGCAATTCTCATGTGGTCGCCCACTGAAGCTAAGCAGGGCTGCGCCCAGTCGGTACCTGGATGGGAGACCACTTGGGAAAGCTAGGTTGCTGCCGGAAGTGGTCTTAGTGAGGCCAGCAGGGGGTGCTCAACCTGTGGTCTGTGTGGGTCCTAATGCCCCAGTTTAGTTACGGGGACTCTATACTGCTCATTGAGCATCGTCTTTCGGATGAGATGTTTAACTGAGGTCCTTACTCTCTGTGTTCATTAAAAATCTCAGGATGTCCTTCAAAAAAAGTAGGGGTTTAACCCCGGCATCCTGGCCAAAATTTGCCCACTGGACTCTGACCATCATGGCCTCCTAACCATCCCCATAACATAAGTGGCTTCATCACTCTGTCTCCTCTCCACTAATAAGCTGGTATGCGGTCAGGTGCAATATGGCTGCCGTCACACCATCCAGGTGGATGCTGCACACTAGTGGTGGATAAGAAGATTTCCCCAATATGTAAAGCTCTTTGAGTGTCCAGAAAAGCACGAATCATTTATAGTTTACCTGGTCTTTTGTCTATGATTATGTCAGCACACCTCTTCTGACAGGTCTTCAAATTTCAGTGGTTCGATCACTTCACACAGTCCCATTTACTGTAAGCTTAACCAAAGCACACAGTCTGGGCCGAAAGGAGTCACGATTAGTTTACCATTCGAGTCTTCTGGCTTTTGAGTTGTTCGTTTATCACGTGACAGCATGTAAAGAGATGACTCAAACCTGAGAATTCGAGAAATGAACAGATCAAATCTTTTTCTGGCTTTAAATGCATATGATTGGCTTCTGTCTTTCACGTGATGAACGAACGACTCAAATCGAGGACTCGAGTGATAAACGAATCAACTCTTTTTCTGGCTCTAAATGCATATGATTGGCATCTGTCATTCACGTGATGAATGAACGAACGACTCAAACTGAGGACTCGAGAGATGAACAAATCAAATCTTTTTCTGGCTCTGACTGCTCAGAATTGGCTTCTATCTTTCACATGATGAAAGAATGACTCAAACATGATAGAGGACTTAAAAAAGGAACTAATCTTCTACTCCACCTGCACAAATGTGTGCATGCGCAAATGAACGAATCACTCCTTGAGAGGGCTCATCATTCTCAAGTCATACAGAAGATTCCTTCAAAATGAACGAATCATTCAAGAACGACCCATCACTACCCACAAGCTAGCAAAATGAGTAAGAAACAGCAAGTTTGGAAGGTTTCTTTTATGAAAGAGAAAAGGCCCAGTTAAGCACCCATGAACTGCCAATGAATGGATCAGCAACCCATTTGTCAACAAATCAGGTGCATATCTGCGCAAGAAGATCAACTGCAGGAGATCGCAAATGACGTCGGCCTTTTCACATATTGCGTTTTTTCTGAGCGTAAGTTTGTTATTTCCAATGCAGGCATGCGACTTGCGTACTTAGTTGAAAACCTCTCAAATATTGAGAATGCTGCAAGTCAAGTGATAAGAAATGATGGATCAGCTTCAAATGGTCAGTATGATATATATCCATGGAATATACACATTTCGGTAGACTAATTATCTCAGACAAACACAGATTTTCTCCATAAATAAAACTTGTGTGAGAGCTGCAGCTTGTCATCTTCTGAGAAAACAGTTGAGGGTTGCCCAGCAATCTACATACACCGTGTAACCCACCCCAAACAGGCTGCGGAAAAACTGTCAATCGTTGATCGGTCCACGGTGATAAAAAGATTGGGGACCACTGCTTTAGAGGGTGCTTGACGAAAGCTAACGAATCACATCAAATTCCTTCCTGCTATCCAGATTTTGAACAATGTCACACTCTAAACTCAAACAGCCAATTAAAGTTCTTTGAGTTCCAAGAACTTCTGAATTCTTGGTTGTTTTAGAATAAGCGAATTCCGGAATTGGACTGATTAGAGAGAGCGTGTTTTGTCCAGGGAAAACATGCACCGTTCATTCTCACCAACACAACAGCGACGACACAATATGACACAGCCGTACCAGTAAAACCTCATTTCCAAAATGATTTTTTTTAGACAAAGTTATATATATATATTTCATCTTTATAAATATTTTCTGTGCTGTTGTGTCCTCTATCAATATAAATAGCAAAATATAGTGTCAGATTTCCTACAGCTACTTTATTCCCCTTTTCAGTTTATGCTAACTAAAGCATCACAAGATTGAATCCGTTAAAAATAATGTACAATTTTCGCTAAACTAAATGTTTGCAAACAAAATGGATGTCTGTACAAAATAATACAAATCCCCTCCCCCCAAAAATAACACAATCAATGTGTGTATTGTTAGCCACAGGAGTGCATAGATGCTGAGTTTGTGAAATGAGTCTGCGAGGTGTGTGTGGAAACCAACCGATTGGGTGACAAGTGAAGAAAGCTGATATAAACATTGATTTGTCTTTTCTTCTTGGGGGTTGAGGTGATGGTGGGTGGAAATCATCCATGATGATCTGACCTACTTCTTTGTCCTTCCGCTCGAAATCCCAACTGAAGGAGAATACTCAGCGTTAAATTGTGTTTCCTTTTTTTCCCTTAAAATGAAACGCTAACCGATAAATATACAAAACAAAAAGTCCACTTCTTGTAGAGACCAAAAATGCTTCTAACACTTTGTGGTGTACATTCAGGAACATTCATATTGAAAGTGAAAAAAGCAACGTAAAATAAATAAATAAACAAACAAACAAAAAAATCACTGTAAGAGTTAACAATAAACATTGCCATAATAATAATTTATATTATATTACAAATTATTCCTATGTTTTTTTTTCTTCTTCTTTTTTGCAGTCCAAGGTCCCTGCCAGAGTAAGGTGACTTTTTATAGTTTTTCTTTTGAGGGAATCCAGATGTAAGGTCCAGACTGTTCCTCTATCACCATCTTACACTGGTTATAAATGTCCTCTAGTGTGTCTCCTTGAACCAGCGCTAAGAGAGAAAAAGAGAGAAAAAGAGCTGACGTTAATAGGTTTTTATGCACTTTACGGAGCAACGCCTTCATCATTTTGCGCCACAAGAAGCACAAAACCCTGATGACAGTTTCATAATGATCGTTTCTGAACTTAATGGATCATTAGACACTTTATTGCTCATGGATTCTTCTGCGTAAACAGTAAGAATAGCCATTTTGCCCAGCAACCCAAAGAGTCTTTAACAAAGCAGAGAGAAACTATGCAGTCTTTTAATTTAAAAATAATAGTTCTTCTATTAAGCTGGGCTCACACCAAACATGATGAAAACACATGTATCTACTTTTTCCACCACTTTGCTAATTTATAATAAGAAATTCATGTATAATGGGCAGCATAATGGCTCAGTGGTTTGCACTGTGGCCTTACTGCAAGAAGGTCACTGGTTTGAGTCCCTGGGCCAGTTGTCATTTCTGTGTTTGCATGTTCTCCCCGTGTTCGGGTGGGTTTGGATGAGGAACTGGATGAACTGAATTGGCCATAGTGTATGAGTGTGTGTGTGTGTGTGTGTGTGTGAGAGAGAGAGAGAGAGAGAGAGAGAATGTGACAATGTATGGGTGTTTCCAAATACTGGGTTGTGGCTGGAAGGGCATCCACTAAACATATAAAACATACAGTTGAAGTCCGAATTCTTATCCCCCCTGAATTATTAGACCCCCGTTTATTTTTTTCCCCAGTTTCTGTTTAATGGAGAATTTTTAAAAAACATTTCTAAACCTAATAGTTTTAATAACTCATTTCTTGTAATTGATTTATTTTATCTTTGCCATGATGACAGTACATCATATTTTACTAGATATTTTTCAAGACACTTCTATACAGTTTAAAGTGAGATTTAAAGTCTTAACTAGGTTAATTAGGTTAACTGGGCAGGTTAGGGTAATAAGGCAATTTAATGATGGTTTATTCTGTAGACAGTCGAAAAAAAATTGCTAAAAGAGGCTAATAATTTTGTCCTTAAAATGTTGATTAAAAATTAAAAACTGCTTTTATTCTAGCCAAAATAAAACAAATAAGTCTTTCTCCAGAAGGAAAAATATTATTAGACATACTGTGAAAATTACCCTGCTCTGTCAAACGTCATTTGGGAAATATTTAAAAAAGAAAAAAAGGGGGGCTAATAATTATGACTTCAACTGTATGCTGGAAAAGTTGCCATTCACTCCACTGTGGTGATCTCTGATAAATCATGGACTAAGCTAAAAGTGAATGAATGAACGTATGTATAATGTAACCCTGCTATTCATTCATTTTCTTAGTATATACTCCCTACTTTTTTTTTCTTTCTGACTGTTAAGGTCTCAATATTATGTCTGTTACACCTTCTTCTTCAAACATTTGTTTCAATGATGTTATTTTGTCTTAAAATAATAAAAAAGTTGATCACAATAATTGAAAACAAGTGTATCGTGTTGCTCATTCTAGTTTACTCTTTGCTTTATTTTACACCTAATGGGAATTCTCTGCTTGAGTAGAACTTGTGCGTATGATGTGATTAGGGCAGATTTCACACCCTTGCAGCAAAAACGTCATAACTAATTTAGTTCACTAACTTAGTTAAATAGTTATAAGCTATTCGGTTAGCGTTTCATTTTAATTTCACACGTTTGCGGCAAAAACATCATGACTAATTTAGTTAACATAGTTAAACAGTTATTAGCTATTCGTTTATCATTGTATTTTAATTCCACACGTTCGTGGCTAAAACGTAATAACTAATATGGTTGGCTTAGTTAATTACTCGTTTGTTATTCGGTTAGCATTTTATTTTAATTCCACACGTTTGCAGCAAAAACATCATAACTAATTTAGTTATGTAACATTGTTAAATATTTATAAGCTATTCGGTTAGCGTTTCATTTTAATTTTACACGTTCACAGCAAAAACATCATGACTAATTTAATTAACGAACATAGTTAAATAGTTATTAGCTATTCGGTTAGCATTTCATTTCAATTCCACACGTTCGTGGCTAAAACGTAATAACTAATTTGGTTAACTTAGTTAATTAGTTGTTTGCTCGGTTAGGATTTAATTTCAAGTCCACGCATTCGCAGCAAAAACATCATAACTAATTTAATTAACTAACTCAGTTATTAGTTATTAAGTTAGCATTTTATTTTAATTCCACACGTTCACGGCAAAAACATCTTAACGTATTTAGTGTACTAACTTAGTTAATTAGTTATTAGTTATTCGCTTAGCATTTCATTTTAATTTCACACGCTCAAGACAAAAATGTCATAGCTAATTTAGTTTACTAATTTAGTTAATTAGTTATTAGTTATTCGCTTAGCATTTCATTACAATTTCACACATTTGCTGCAAAAACGTCATAACTGATTTAGTAACTAACTTAGTTAATTGGTTATTCGGTTAGTGTTTCATTTTAATTCCACATGAGTGGGAAAAATGGCATAACTAATTTGGTTAACAAATTTGGAACATTGGCTCCACACGTTGGCAGCAAAAACGTCACTTATTTTGACGTTCGCAAATTGAAATTTGCAAGTTTGCATTGACTTTATATGTAATTTATAATTCCCATTTGGCATACACTTCACCTATTCTGTGTCATTTGCGCCACCTGGTGGATTTTATTTGCAAAAACACTTCAATTCACTTTGTGTGTGAACCCAGCATTAGAGTATACAGCATTATTGTTAAAGCACCACACTTTTTAAATCTCCTCTGGAAGCTTTTTTTGTGAATGTAGAGCAAAATGACAAACAAAGTAGAAAGAAATACTATAGTCAGGTTTAAAATGTCCTCAAACAAAGAGCAACTCTTTTTCCTATTCATCCATGCAGACTCATGGGGTCACGATAATGCATTTTTCAAGAGAAAGCTGATGTGGTTCACTCAGGGGAACGCTTCTGCTCCGTGGCTCTGCTGTCAAATATGATGGATGTAACAGGCTGCAATGGTTGCCCTCTGTGGTAATGCATATGCAACAGACTATCATAATATGCAAATTAGGCGATTTTGGACAGCCTCTGAGCATAAAGCCTCCGCTTCGGGTCCTTTGGATGGATTGGGAACTGTTACCTGTGAAGTACTCGCCAAACTCCTGCTCCAGTTTCATGGCACGGTCGTATGTCTTTTTGGCCTGTTCCTCTGTCAACCTCTTATTCATTTCCCTGCAATGCACAGAAATTACAAGTGAAGCAATCCCTGAGGCTCAGTGCAGAGGAATTTGTATTATTTATTGAGTGTGTAGGTGGTATAGGGTGGTAAACTTACATTAAGGACTCAATGGATCTAGGCTTTATAAAGATGGCAATGGGGTAGAGTTGTGCTACTTGTAGTCGTTTTATGGCATTCCCAGACACGTCAAGTATGCAGTGCTTACCCTAGAAGAGCAAAAAAAAAAAGGACTTGCTGAATAGTAGAGTATGTGGCCATTCACAAAAGCACACAAAAAAGATTGTTGGCCTATGGGACTAAGTAAAAGAAGTTCAACAAATACTAGTCTTGTAAAAAATGTCCAACTGTTTACACAATAGGCCTCGAACTCAATTCCTGGAGGGGCCACAGCTCTGCTCAGATTTGCTCTAGCCCTATCAAACACAGCTGATCCAAACAATCGAGGTGTTCAAAAGCGTCATGAACACCTTCATTAATTGGATGACCTGTGTTTGATCAGGGTTGGAGCAAAACTGCACAGAGCTGCGGACCTCCACATTAGTAATGACAATGTTGTGGTTGTAAAACATCAGCTACTGACCCTCTCAGCCACGTATTTGACCGACTGGACGCTGGTTCCGTACAGATTGTCATTGTACTGTCCAGCCTCAATGAATTTGTGCTCTTGGATGTCTTTCTCCATCTGTTCTCGAGAGGCCATAAAGTGATAATCTCTCCCATCCACTTCATAATCCCGCTTTGGTCTGGTAGTATCTGTGATTGTTAAAATAAATCCAGGGCTTAATTTTATAAGACCGGGTACTCAGTGCTACAGCAAATACAATTGGGAAATCATTGAGATTATTATTTGCATAAAAATTCATGAGAAATGCCATAAGTTGACAGAAGGCAAATATACTTAATATCCAGATATACATGTCTAGCTGTTGAGGTGACTAAGAGACAGAACCACTGTAATGATCTAAGCAGAAGTACACATTGATTCTACTGCATGGATTAACTATATATTATAGGGATGCACGATATATCGGCGACCATATCTTTATCGGCCGATAAATGCAATTTTTTAAGATTATCGTTATTGATCAAATGTCTAATTTAGTCCGATATCTTTAAGCCGATAAATTACATAATTGTACAGACCTGCCTGCCTTGCGCATGCGTGGGCAGAACTTGTATAGACTTGTCCTGTGCACTATAATGGAGCTCTCCTCACATTGTTTATTCCTTCAAAGTCTGTCCTTACTTCATGTGGTATTGCTGTGCGTTAATAACCTAGTAAGTAACCATATTCCTTATCATTGTAGATATGTTTGATTGAGTGCCATTGTGTATTTTGCTTTAAATCACCTCAGGAAAAAAAATACATATGTAAACAACAGCAGCAATGCACATGTGCTAAACAACTTGTTGGGTTAAATGATTATTTGTTATTATCAACGCATTGCTTGCCATGTGTTGTTGATGTAAGATTGTATTCAGTTTGATCGGAAAATTCATAGATTATAATGAGCGAGTGTGAGAGCTGTTACCGCACACACTCACAAACACACACACTGATCTGACAGCCTTCACCGCAGCACGGGGAGAGGTGCGCCCTTAACTTGCCGCCACGGTTTGTCTTTAAATTATGCTCTGTGTTTGTCATTAAGTCATATGAGTGCTCAACGCTCAGGTTTGTATCAAAATCTGACTCCGGGGGCAAATTTGCGCCCTCACTGCGGTTTATAATAAACTTCTTATCTAGAATTTTTCCGGCAATAGACAGCGAGAACGAACACAGAAGCGTTGTCTGATTGATAAGCAGAAACCAAAAAGGATGAATATGTGCCGCATTTTCTAAAGTAATACTATCTTTATCTAGCTTTTCACTTGTACGGTGACTCTAAACTATCAAAACACCTCTAAAAAAGGCTTTTTCCGCCATGACATACTTGTACACATGTACATTACTGTTACACGTTTTATTCAAGAACATTTGAGCTGGTTTTAGTCCTTAGCTCTTTCATTTGAATTTTATTTAAATATATTTAACTTGCTTATTTGTTAAGTCCCTTTTTGTTATTTAACCTATTATTTTTAAGCAACAGTCAAGTTGCATGTTAATTTGCTATGAAGAAAATTGTGAATATTGGTCTATATAATCACCTTGCAATTTTGAAATGATAGCTTTTTTGCTTAACAATAGACTATTCAGTTCATAAGAGCAGTTCAATCTTTTATGAAGCTTGCTGTTTAAAAATATAACATTTTGAAATATTTATAATTATCGGCCTATATATATCGGCTATCTGCCTCCAAGTCTGAAGAGTTATCGGTTATTGGTATCAGCCAAAAATCCATATCGGTGCATCCCTAATATATTACAAGGACTGATGCTACAACATTTTAATGCATCTACATCTTGTTCACTGCAGACTAACATTCTCACTTACCTTCTTGATCAGAACTGTTAGCCGCTTTTTTTGAATTATGAACATAAACAAAAATGGTTAAATAAAGAGTATGATCAACTGAAAATAACACATTAGAGTGTTAAAAATGGAAAACATGAAAGAGCTTTGTGACACTATTCAACCAAATCTTAAAATTGCGATTTTTATTGGCTTTACATGAAGAATTCCACAAAATGCCAATATTTTGGATTACACATACTGTTTATCACATGGCAACAAAGCTCTTTCCCCAAAACACCATAACTTAAAGGAAAGTTACAAAACAAGGGGAAATTGTTGATTACTTTCAAGGTTTGCTTGAAGTTTTTTTTTTTTTGTTTACCCAGAAGACTAATATTAAATACTGAAAAGATCGCCAAGACATCACATTACAGTGACCTAGATGAAGCTTATTAATCAGCACACCTTGAAGTAAGTGATTTCATAGATACAGCACGATGAAATGAGTTTTCAGAACTGAACAGCGAAAGTTATGAGCACCGGGGGACAGTAGGGAACACCACGAACTCTTGCGGTCCGGCCACTCAACTTACCATTTCATTTTGATGAACCCCATCAGCACAGCTATCAGCACAAAGGCTTAAAAACCCCCAAGACTACTGGATATAATTACAAACTAGCTTGGAGCAAGGTTTTTCTAACACTCCAGTTGAAATTCATAACAGCACAGGTGAGAATACCACAGTACGCAGTTGCTCAGTCGGCCTCTAATGAAGGTTAATTTGTGCATTTAAAGATAAAAAATGAGTAACTGATGGAAGATCCATTCGGAGACTAGTTTATCTGATAATCTAACCACTTAGGGAGGAACCACATGATGTTTTAAGGGTACTTACGTGGCACACATGACCCAAACTTGTCAGGGAACTCAGAGATGAGGTCATCGTTGATTCGGTCCTTCATGGGCCCCAAGATTATAACTGGTCTGGCGTAATTAACTGTTCAAACGGATAATACAGACACAGAACATGCTCTCTGACTCAAATCAAATCTTTTTATGCTTCATACATAGAGCATGAGAGACAGTTGAGAGGCACTTACTCTCTTGTCTGATGACAGGCTCATATGAGAGTATCAGTTCCTCTTGACTCCCTGGAAACAGAACAGAGAAACATACTCAGTGGGGTGGGCAACTGTAATAGGACTCAGCTTGGTTTCTGCAGAGGACAGGTGATGGAGATGGCCACATTTGGTATGCCCTTCACCAAGGACTTCCAGAGCGCAGCTCGAGTGGATGTGTAAATGAGTTACTGAGTATGTAATGTCATTATGTACTTGTTGACAAGGACATTTGGCTTAAAAAAGAGAGAATTTGAAAAAAAGAGAATGGCAAAATTGAGTTAGCGCTCATTTGGGAGATTAAAGGGATCGAGAGAAAGGCACTGTGATGATGACAGACAACAGAAGAGCAATTTAATCACGAATGAGACTGAAGTTTCAGACAGCGACAATACTAATTGAATTTAATAGTCCAATTATAGGAAAACAGGTCCAAAGTGACGCTAGTTCTGAGGTGGTCTGTGCACACAGGGACATGGAGAGCCAGAGGAGTTTATTTTTAGCCCAGGGACGAACAGAAGCAGGCTGCCGCAGGAACACAATACGGTTATTATCCATCGATTCAAACCCAGATAGGATCGAGAGTTATTCTGAGCCAGGGATTCATTACTCTCATTGGCAGTGGTAACATTAAACCACACAGAATGAATCACACATGAATCAGCTTCTGTGTAGTGCGCCACTCTCACCAAGGACAATTTGGATGCTGTAAAAATGTTAAAAGCCCTTTATTTGTTTTCCTACTGCCATAAACAGATTGGACTGTAATGTCCATTTAAAGCCTTAGAAACATGAAACGTATTTTGAAGCTTTATTCAACAAACTAGTGAGATGCCTATAGAGGCAGAATATGAAGTCAGCAAAACAGATTTACAACACAAAGGCTGTTATAAAATGTAGGTAATCTAATTTTGCTGCTTAGAAAACACTGCATGCTAACATACAGATCCAAGATAACCCGCCAAGTACTTTGAAGAGAGCTTCTTTTTTTTATATGTTTTTCGATAATATAAGTGTTATGTGCATTAAAGAGAAGCCAAATTTAGTTGGCAACATTTGTGAGGATTTTCAACAAGGTTATGTGGGCTTGATCAATTGTTAAAGCTTGTGGTGGAGACAGCTCATTTATCACTGGACAGTGACCTTTGCACTCTGACCATGGCAGGGAGCCAGTTGTTTATTCATGGACCTAAAAATTATGATTATTTACATCAGTGTAACCTTTAGATAAAACATTTAAAGTCTCTTATGCAATAGTGTGAACTAGTATCACAAAAAACTTTTAAATAACTTTTTTTTGGTTTAACTATAATTTACAATATGTGATTTATTACTGTTTTTGCGAAGCTGTACTTTAAGCAGCCATTATTCCAGAATTCAGCCACATGTTCCTTCAAATATTAATTCACCATTCTGGGGTGCGTTTCCCAAACAACAACATAACTCACAGCTGAACTATCATAGTACGATGCATCATTTGGGAAAAGAACGATGTAGTGATGAGTGTTTCTGAAAACCTGTAGTTTCTCTGTCGCAGATACATTGTTTAAACCACGTTAGTTTTAGCTTAAAACGCCCATAATGATGCTTTAAACGGAGTGCAGTTACTACTTTTTTGAAGAAAAACCCTATTATTTTTTATATAATCATATGTATAAATATATATATTTTTTATATTATATTGTTTTACACGTACACGCATTAAAAAAATTAATATTAGTTTTGGTAAAAACATGCACTTGTTTTCCATATTAATTGAAATATGTATATAAAGGGCACATATAGGGGCCATGTTTCCTTTACAAATATTATTAAAAATATTCCATATTTTATTCTAAATCAGAAGACGTAAGAAATGAAGAAAAATCCTAATTTCCTTAATTTTCAAAAAAATCCTTAATTCTATTATTATTAAGTAGGATCTTGTTTATTTCTTTATTTTATATATTGTAAAAGTCTACTTATACAATTAGACATATTCAAGCCACTGCAGAATTGTTCTAATTAACAGGTCCATGTCATACACAGCACAGACACATTTTTTTATTTATTTATAAATAACCTACTATAAATTAAAACCATTAAAGTATATATAATTTTGTTTCACCTATATATTTCGACATGCCGCCATGGCTGCATTCAAAATGGCATACTTGTTTTCAAAGAGCACTAAAGGAGCTCAAATGTCAATATGAAGATTACTAAAACCGAACTGTAAAAAAACACTTGGAAAGCAAATTACAGCTAAGAGAGATGACTTGTTTTTTTTTAATGTTTTTTTTTAATCATTCCAAGTTTAAATGTTTGAAAGTTCGAATGGAATAAGGCATATGGGGGATAACTGGAAATTATGGATCTATGTTTCTAACTACAGCTCCAGACGTGTAGTTGCAAGCGCAGAAGTTTGTGACGCATTTTATGAATGTTCGTTGGAATTATAGATCTGGGAAATGCCAAATCAACAAACTTGTAACATTGGAACTTGCGAGTTGCCACCTTAGTTGGCTAATGATGGTTTTCGGAAACGCACCCCTGTTTAGGTGAATCCATCCTTGATGACTAAAAATAAAATAAAATAAAATAATTTAAAATAAAATAAAAATAAATAAATAAAATTTAATAAAATAAAATACAAATAAATAAATAAAATGTAATTAAATAAAATTTAATAAATAAATGAATAAACATTAAATTAATAATAAAAAATAAAAAATAAACTAAAAATAAATGAAGTGTAAATGAAATGTTGCAGAAATATAACTTGATATTAAAACTCGACTGTAAGCCCAAACTTGCCATGACTAACAAAATTTTTCTTTCTGAAATTAAACAAACTGGAAATGATTCTTTCATGATTGTTTCTGACAGCACATATCATTTTTCATCAGTGCATTATCAAGCGAGTCCATTTCCAAAATAAATGAAATCAAAGCCACAAAATCCTGTTTACTGGCCAAGGGGGAAACAAACAAGTCATCTTTCATTATTTTCAAGAAGGCACTCTATGGCTGTCCAGAACATCATCATGCAATATGACAATTATATGGCAAAACCTAATCTGTTCACAGTGACAAGCTCATCCAGTGAACTCTGTATTCACTCTCAGTCTGGAAAGCTGCCACTCTCAAGATGACTACAAAACCTGACAGCTAACGTTTTAGAGAGGGACTGCGGTACTACATCTCCAGCTAAGTAGTACGTTCTAGTTTTCAAGAGTTTTTAAAGATAGTTTTCAGAAGCTCGCTATAAACTTTAGACAGTCTAAGTTGGTTGTACAAGATAAAATTAGGATTGAGTTTCAAGCATAAAATAAAATTAGACACAGGAGATTAAGTTAGAGACGCAGCACACAGAAAGAGAGACAAAAAAATTCCAAGCTTTGTTTTCTGTGAACAACTTTGCATTCCACTCTCTATGGAGAGTATTTTGGCACAAATGCATATTAATTCATTCAGAATAATGCTAAATGTTCTGTTGACTGACGTGGAGTCCCTCAAGTATGAATTTAAAATCAAATTTTAATAATTGTTTTGGCTAAATGTGCCTGGTGTGAACATGAAACAACATTGAGTAAAAAGCACAGAACAACATTGGGCACAGCACTTCAGAGACATCATAAAAGACAAAGACAAAAGACTAGAAAAAAACCTAGATATTGATAAACAGAACTGTTTTCCGATTCATTTTCAATCGTGTATTTGTTAATTTTGAAGTCTTTTATGTTCAATCTTTTTAACCCCCTGCTTTTTAACCCCCTACTGGTTAAAAGTTTGGAATAACAACATATTTTTATTGATTTATTAACGTCATTGTGCTCAAAAAAGCCTGTATTTTGAAGGATTGTGTGATGCTAAAGACATGAGGAATATTTACATATTTACATACATTTAAAAATATATTTAAATAGACAACACATATTTTAAATGATCCCATTTAACAGTATTACAGTTTTTACTGTTTTGCATGATGTTTTTTTCATTATGTTCTACACATGTGCATGACACCACAGTTAAAAATAACATATCTGTAATTTACACAGAAATGATAATACTTTCATTTTTAAAGAAATTGCAAGTTAGCATTTTCAAGCCCTCTTAACTCTCACCCCCACATTTTAACATGTGGATTGCTGTAGCAAAGTAATGCTTTACGACTCATTTTTGCAAATAAATAAATAACTGTCGCTCAGTAAAATTTATCATTAAAATAAAAACAAGTCACCAGATATGGAAACTACAAATTTTAAGCTTTCAATTGATATATAGTTTGTAATGATTGCTTTGTTTAAAGTACAATACACTCTCGGAAAAAAAGGTACACGGAGAAAAAAAAACAATGTTCCTTAATGAACAGTTTTGTACCTTTGTAAAAGTTGTACCCTATATGCTACAGAAAAGACCTCTTATGATACTGTTCTGTACCTTTTATGGTACAACTGAAATGAAGGTACACAATTGTTCTCATATAAAAGTTACAAACGTGTTGAGCGACTACATTATTACAATACCTATGAAAATAAATACTATACTGGAAAGGCAAAGTGATTTATGAATAATTTTCATATTAAAACAAGAACCTTCATTTAAAAGTGTATGTTTAAACAATAATTATTAAGTTCTATAATACAAAACAACAAATAAAACATAAAACTATAAGTACTATAAACTAAACATTTAAGGCATTTTAAATACATGTTTGGTAAGCATTTTTGACACTGTTGTAGTGGTAAATTTATGGCTCAGATTTGTACCTTTGACGAAGGTAAAATATTGTTTCTGCAGGTTTTAAAAACCAAAGTTACATTTTGTTTTCCCATAGTACAAATCATGTCCTTAAATGTACAAACTGCAATGGTACAAATTTTTGGTCCCACTTTATATTAAGTGGCCTAAACTAATATGTACTTACACAGGAATTAATAGTTTGTTACAGTGTACTTATTGTGTAAATACATGTATTTATTGAGTACTTATGCTTGATTAGATACCGGTATGTAATTACATCTGTAATTAACTTCTGTAATTACATTTGTA